GCGCGCACTTAGGCGAGAGAGAGGGGGGAGGGGTGAGAAGAACACATAGAGTGAGAAAAGAGACCCAGACACAAAAGGACAGAGAAAGACAGGCACACAGAGACTGACAGGAAAAAAAGAAGTTTATTCCCCTATATTCCTTCACTCGTCTCGTCCAGTAACAATATTATTATCCCAACAAGCCCTATCGGAAACCCCCATCTCCCAACATCCCCGCAAAAAGAACCCCGAAATCTCGCAATCTTTTCAAACCGAGAGGCTAAAATCACAGCCCTGGTAAATTATTGAAATTCTGTTTACAAACGAAGAACGTCATTTAAGCCAAGCGTGGAGGCAAATTTACCAAGTCTTGGCGGAGAGAAAGCCAGAATCCGATATCCTCTGTACTTTCTGGACGCCGTTGCTATTGGAAGTAGACAAAGACTCTCGCGGATGTATGGACGATCATTGAGTTTGTTAGGGTCTCACAAGACCGTCGGCAAAGCGCATCGATTTGCATACAGCATAAGGTTTATCGAAGAGTTTCATTGTCGGAGTGAGAGCAAATAGAAGGATGGGAAGTGATAACGGCGTAGGATTTTTGGCAGGCTTTAAGACGTGTATGTTTTTCTGTGGGTTAATGATTAGCTTTGGTTTGTATGGGCGTAAATTCGTTAGGTTGGGTGGGGGGGTGGAGGGGGATAGGACCACAGATGTGGAAAGAGAGGAGAGAGAGAGAGAGAAAGAGAGAGAGAGAGAGAGAGAGAGAGAGAGAGAGAGAGAGAGAGAGAGAGAGAGAGAGAGAGAGAGAGAGAGAGGGAGTGGGTGGGTCGATGGGAGCGGCGGAATTAGTAGATAACCAGAGAGGTAGAGAATAAAAGGAGAAGGAAATTACCAAATAGCATTAATTTCCTGAAAACATCTGGCACAACATTGCTACATAGATAGCCGCTGGAGACACAATGCTAACTTAGAGTTACAAAGTTCCAGCTGACATTTGCGGCCATTTTAGTTACTAAGACCGTGGCGTCAAAAATCATAATAATAATGTTCTGTCTGCTTCCTCAAATTCGTAAGATTGTTCGGAGTTGTTATTAAGATTTTCAAAGAATTGTATTCCGAAAAGCTTAACATATTGTGAAACTCAACATTTTCTACGTCAAATTTATTGATACGAGTTTCTGAGCAGCTAGATAGAATTTTGTTATTCCGAGGAAGTGTCATTAGACGCAATATTTTTTAAAACTCGAGACGGGATTATTATGGTTTTAGAGAAGCACATCAAGCCGACAGCACTCTTTTTCTGTTGCTTTGAAAAGCAGTCCGAGCGGATAACAATGAAGCACTGGGATAGATAAAAAGTCGGATCTGCCACCGGTCCTCAAGGACCACCATTGGAAAATAATCGTTCGTCAGTTAATGTCTAACAATGACCAAAACATCTGCAGACAAGAATATTTCTTAAAGAGAAATATATAGAAGAAATAAGCGTGTAGATAATTTGTGGCTTCTGCTATGGCCAATATGACGAACTCAGGCAGAGAAGGGTTTTTCACTTTATAATCATTTAAACACTTAATTTCCATTCGTGGATGTACGCAGCTTGCGGGTTTCTCTCTAGGCTTCATCCTTTCAAACTCGTGAGGCCATCGACCGTGTCTGTACGTCAGGACTGACAATTGCACCACAGAGTGACAGATGCCTGTAAACCAGTTAGTGAGTAGTTGTGACAGCATCACAGAGCATCAAATTATACTCACTCACAAGCGGCTATCGCTAGTTGTGAAAAGACGACTGTTCTTACAGGCATGGGTATTTTTTGAAAGCTCGAAATCACAGTGGAGTATGGATATATGCCAGCCATATATACATGCAATAATGGCAATGATAATTACTACTACTACTACTACTACTACTACTACTACTACTACTACTACTACTACTA